GGCCAAAGTTTATTTCTGTGCAAAACTCCCAAAAAATTCAAACGAAGAATTAAGGCATGGCTAGTCGGATATTTTTAGGGAAAACTAGGCTGGAAACCCTTTCTTCAAAATCAGTTTCACTTCAAACTTAATTTAGGCGGAAGAAAAGAAGATTGTACAAAAAATTAAGACAAGAAAGAAAAAAATTAACAGCGGAGTCTTCCGACTGGCGTCGAGCGTATGATGTGTGCCCTTCCAACCGCGCAGCAGGTCAGATGCGTAACCCACTGGGCTACCGGGGGACTCCTTGACTAGCTTGGAAAATTTAATAGCTAAATACCTTAAACAATAATATACGTGTGACTGAGAAACCAATTTTATGTGCCATTAACAAAAATTTTGAGACCTGAAAGAGATTGGGCTGTTCAGTAACTTATTACTCGCAGCCCTAGGAAACGTTATAAAGCTGCCAAGATTTAGGCCAAAGTTTATTTCTGTGCAAAACTCGCAAAAAATTTAATCGAAGAATTAAGGCATCAGTATTTAGACATTTTTAGGGAAACTTAGGGTGGGAACCCTTTCTTCAAAATCCAGTTTTTGCTTGAAAACTACTTGAAACGAAATAAAACAAGATGGTACAAAAAAAAATTGACACAAGAAAGGAGAAAAATTAAATGGGTGGCCCTTGACTGGCGTCGAGCGTGTGTATGCCCTTTGTACCGTACAGCAGGTCAGATGTGTAACTGATTGGGCTACCGGGGGACTCCTTGACAAGGTTAGAAAATTTAATAGCTAAATACCTTAAACAACAATATACGTGTGACTGAGAAACTAATTTCGCTTTTACAAATGTGCCATTAAGAAAAATTGGAGACCTGAAAGAGATTGGTGTCTTCAATAACTTGTAGCCACTGTAAGGATTTTCCTTCTTCTAACAATAGCAGCTCGTAACCCTAGGAAACTTTTTATAGCTGCCAAAGCTTAGGGTAAAGTTTAGTTCTGTGCATCTTTTTTTTGTGGCAAACTCGCAAAAAATTTAAACAAAACCATTTTAAAGAATTTTAAATCATTTTTCAACTTTAGAAAGCTCTTTTCATGTCGGTTGTTAAATCATATGTTTACAACGCTTGGTGTTCCATTCGCTCTGGTGTCTCCATGTTGGTTAGGTTTAACTATTCAGGAGCTCTCATTATCTCATTTTGCAAGGGAGAATCCTAAAAAGATATCCTTGTTAAAACTAAGCTATGAAGGTCTCAGAACCGATTCATCTGCAAACTGCAGGCTTCGTTCTCAAATGTTCTTGTCAGTTCAATTGCACACAGAGGCCGGCGGATATGCTTTCCCGAAGCGTTCCCTAAAGCACGCCTGAGCGTTTTATTGATCGTCGCAATAAATTAATGGCATGCAAGCTCCCAAGTCTAGAACTAAACTTTATTTCGAATTCTATGATAAAGTAAAGCCAAAATTAGTGAGAAAATGTGCAGTGCTTTCCTCAATTTTTATGTATTTAACAGTCCAAAATGTTTTAAACTGCCTACAAATGGTTTGAATCCTTTTATTAATTTATTTTGCTATCGATATACTCTTTTCTACTCAGACTTCATTGAGATGAAAAGGTCGATAACCCTAAAGACCTCATTGCAACAAGGGTATTCTAAATATGCAAAGAACGATTACAGTACTACTATGTGAAACATTACATATTTTAACTGAGTTATACTTAAAATACTAACTTGCAACCTAAGTTGTATGTTACTCTGAAATAGATAGGAAAGTTTAATTTACATAAGCTAGGATTTGTCTTCAATATTTTAATGTCACCATACTTGGTGAGCGAAAGTTTAAAATGAACAGCTATCCTTTTCTTTTTGCTGAATCTATTTGTTGTTGTTGCTCTTGTTGTTTTCTTCTTTGAGGGTGGAAAGAGTAGGTGCTAGTTAATCTAAGTTGTTGCACTATGTATTTCTTAAGATATTAACGAATGACTTACACTTAAGAGGGAAGAAGGGCAACAGAGTTATTTCCCCATATAGGTGTTATTTCTAACTACTTATTAACCGATAGCGAGGTCTTTACGGGAAAATCTCAAATTCATCGAGACGTCTTCGTTCGGACCGAGCGATAGCGACACGCCAAGACCAAACGTTCGAGGTAAATAAGTAGTTTATTTTTATGGCTATTGGACGAAAGTTTCAGGTTCGTCATATATTCGTCCTGTCCGCCGGTCTTGTCCGGAACCAACTCGTTCACAAGTTAACGCTGTGGATTCGCTTTTCTCATGAAATTGTACCTCTTCAGAGTAACATAATTCACTCTCAAAGTGTTTCTTGTCACCCATCGTTTTGAGCTGCTTCAATTTTCAGAAAAAAGAGAACCAGTTTTTGTAATTACCTTTTGTTTTGTTTTTGCAGGCCCGTAATCGGCCCGTGGGCATTACGGCAGAATAATGCCCTAGAATCAGCCAATCCCAGCGCGCTTTATACCGCCCACAAACAGAAGCCATATAATAAAAATTAATGGTTGTCCCCCTCAAGTTGCTTTTAGATACGGAATCCAGTTTTTCCGCGGCAATATTACCACGCGCGTTGCGTGGATGTTTACGTGGAGGATGAAAGTTCGTGTAAAGCCGCTTGGGTTGTCCACGAAAGTAAAATCATCTTACATGATTTGTAACTAATCCCTGGGATTTCTGAGAGCGGGAGGGGATTTCCTTAGGACTAAGGCCTATACGGGGGATTAACTATCTTGCCCTTTATCCCCTGTACAAGTGTAACTGTTACTGTAAGTTTTATTTACGCAAAGAACATGAACAGCTTCTAAGTTTTCTAGTGTGAAACTTTCACAGTGCGACCGAAAAACAGTCCATCCCATAATATATCTTCCTCCAGTCCGGAAGCTGTGAATTTTGACTAAGCTCTTGAAGAAAGGTAAAGTTCTCATCTGTTGTAAGGCTTGGCTTTGCTTAGTGTTGGGTTGTGTTTGGACCCTTGCTATGTTCATTTTAAGCCTACAGATGCAAACAGTGTCAAACCGCAAAATTCTCTCCTTCTCCTAACATGGCTGAACAGATACAGCCCTTAAACAATTTAATTAAGCACTGCCTGTAAAGATGAAGCCTACTTAACGGACACTAACGCATATACCTAATGGCCTGTCCACACTATGGCGGAGAAATTGGAAAACGCAACAATCAGCGGTCATTTTGGATTTGAGTTTGAGGAAAACTCAAGCAGGGAAATCACCTGATTATCGTGACGCAATCGATTTCGAAAAGCTCCATTTTGAAAACGTTTTCGGTCCACACTAAAACGAAAAGCCGGCGTTTTCAAATTCCTCCAGTTTCAAGAGCGGGTTTTGAAAAGCTCCGCTTTCGTGACGGATTAGTGTGGACGGTAGGCCTAACCGTAACGTTTTCAAGTTTCTCCGGCATACTGTGGACGAGACCTAAAGCAACAGCTATACAGTTTATTTCTAAAAGCTTTTAAGTTCAGCATACATTCATTTCGCTTCATGCTGAGGCACCGTTAACATCTTCATCATAGGGCTCTGTTGTGTCCTCATAAGGCGTTTCTGCTTTTCCAAACGTCGACTGCACTTTGGATTTCAAGTCGGAGAATCGAGCTGGCTTGTCAATCAGCCTGTCGCCACTGAATTGACTATATGGAGACTTTCTGCATTTGTAGATGATGATGACGACGACGACGACAACAACCAGTAAAACAGGAATGATGATGCCTATCAGCGTTCCCGTACTGAGGCCACGTGATTTCGCTGTTTGTACAGGTTCTAAAATAAGAAAATAAAATAAAACGGGAGAATTATCCCTATGTACCCTTTTTACTTTGGAGATACCCGGCAGAGCCGTTCTTAACTTACAGCGGTTTTCACTTGGGTGTCGAAGGGTAAGTAAGTTTCACATAACTACGCTACATGATTGCCTTAAAATACTCGCGCCACTTTTTCATCCAATCAGATGTCAAACCAGAAACATTCGTGACTCGTTCACACACGTTTTCCCGCGCCTCGCGTCAACTAAAGGTATTTACTTCAAGTTTTGATTGGTTCGCTGTATTGTTTGTGTCCTTTGAGATTGGCTAGAGTGATTACTTTGGTTTTGGGTTTACAACACTCAATTGAAAACCGCTCTAAAAGTGGTAGGCCAAAAGCAAAGTAATTACTTTGGTCAATCACAAAGGACATGCAAAACCCAACGAGCCAATCGAAACTTCAAATACACGAAGCCGACTCAAAGCGCGGGGAAAATAGAACAAGAAAGTCGCGATTAACTTGAATTTCAATTCTGCGCAAATTTTTAAAACCAATCACAAGGCAAAGTGGTGCAAAACCGAAGTAAAGACGATTTTCTTTCGACACTCAAGTTAACAGTGTTGTGAGTTTGTCAAATGAACGCAGAAAATCAGCTCATTTCTTCAATTTTAAAAATTGAGGTACTAAGCTTAATGTAAGCTGCGAAAGTGTCGAATTTCACAAAGCTGAAGCATCTTGCAGCCGCGCTTTTTGGCGGGAATTAAACGCACGTGGTTCACTTGACTGCTGTGGTACAACATTACTGGGGGCTTAACATTTAATTTCAGCTAAACTGAAACACCAACTGACCTTTCTCGCGCGTTTGACCGTCCACAGTGAGCACTGCTGAGCGCCGAGCTTCACCGTGGCTATTTTTATATATGCACTCGTACGTTCCTGAATCTCCGACCGTGACCGAGTTAATCCGAAGCCTGGCCGATCCCTGTATGGGACTGAGTTCTATCCTATCCGACGCCTCGACTGTTTCCGAATTTTTCTCCCACGTAATCTCAGGCTTTGGGTCCGCATATCCAACGCAGTAGAAAGACACGTTAGCTCCGGTAAGAACATTCTTGTCCACCGGCGGGATGTCGATTACAGGAGGTCCTGAAAAAGAAGTACGATGAAAGTAAAGTCTGCATACGAGCCAAGTGGCCATTCAAGCCAGAACTTATCTAGGTTTCTGTAGCATGAAGTGACTAGGGGTATTTCTACTCCCCGGGTTACCCTTCAGAATTAAATTCGTCGGCACTCATTTATACACCTGGGTGGAGAGAGGCGATGTGAGAGTAAAATGTCTTGTAACAAAATGTCTTGCCACACAATGTCCCCTGCCAGGGGTTGAGCCCGGGTCGCGCGATCCGGAGACGAGCGCACTAACCATGAGGCCACCGCGCCTCCACGAAAAAGAAGTATGCAATACAGTTATTGCATCACTATTTGCGTTTTTCAAATTTGATTTTTCATGATAGTTAAGCAGGGAGAGGCAACTTCATACATACTTCTCGAGATGTTGCCTTGAATTTTTCAAACTTTTTCTTTTTAACAGACTTAAAGTGCCCATAATGTCAAAACCTTTTTTTCGCTCATCTTATTCTACATTTCATCTAATGAGCTTCTGCGAAAAAAGTTTTCGATTTGGATAAAACGCAATATTTTTACGAATCTATACAAAGTTCAAAATTCTATTTTCTTGCGGTCGACCCCTGCCGCTGATCACAAGAATAACGTGCTCAGAATGGCCACGAAACTGACGCCTGTGACGTAGGTTCAGGAACCTACGATGAAGACTGACGTTGTTTTCTGAATCATTAACGTTGTTACAAAGAGCGGCAACGCACCTTTCCGGCATTTTCAACTAAATGTAGACAACTCTGAAGCAAGATTAAGCAAACTCTTGTTTTCAAGTCAGATAAGTCATGACCCAAATCACGTGTTTCTGAATTTACGTCACGACTCACTTCAAACCGAGGAAGACTGGTGCGAATGGTGGACCAAAATGGCGGCAAATTTGAACGTCTTTAAAACTTCTAAAAAAATTGCATTTTATCCAAATCGAAAATTTTTTCGCAGAAGTTCATTAGGTAAAATGAAGAATTAGATAAACGAAAAAAATTTTGACGTTATGGGCACTTTAATAATACAAACTATAAGTGCATCAAAATCACAATTCACGAAGAGAGTCCCCATAGAGCTTTCAATATCTTTCGTTTAAACCTTTCGGCCTTTAATAAGTCAAGATTTATGAAAACCGTGTTAAAGAAAATCTAGCCCTTCTCAAGCTTGAAAGTACGCGATCTAAAAATTCAAAAGAAAGTCAGTCTTTTTTTCTCCTCTCTGTTATCTTCCTTTTCGTTCGTGGCCATTCATTTGAAAGTTGGTTTAGATTTACTTTCAAATGGTAACGTCTTTGGTCTTCATGGTGAAAGTCCAAAAGACAATTACAGCAAATGAACTTAGTTTCACACCTGTTATCAACAGCAGAATTTTCTTGGCTTGGACTGTGCCTCGGTTCCACGCTATGCAGTAATACCTGCCCATGTCCTTTGCAGAGACCTGAAGAATCTTCAACTCTCTCCGAGTAACCGCGTGTCGACTGTCATTAGTTACCAGCTCTCCGTCTTTCTTCCAAGCCATATTTGGAATAGGAAATGCTTTAACAGAGCAGCGCAGCGTAACATCTTGGTCTTTCTTTGCAGTTTTCTCCGGCGACCAGTTATTTGTGTATTGAATCGTCACTAAAACATGTGCAGAAAATAAAAAAAATGATACAGATATGAGATAAGGATTGACCGAAGTGTCCTCATTAGAGACGAGGGAATTTGCCGTGCTTTGAAGAAAATTTCAGTCAGCTAGCAACTTCCAGTCAACCAATCAATCAACCAATTATTCAATCAATCAATCAAGCGACCAGTCAGTCGGTCAGTCAGTTAGTCAATCAGTCATAAAAGTCAGTCAGTCAGCCAGTCAACAGTCAGTCAGTCAGTCAGTCAATCAGTCAGTAAGTCTGTCAGTCAGTCAATCAGTCATCAGTGAGTCAGTCATAAATGTCAGTCAGTCAGTGAGTCAGTCAATCAGTCATAAAAGTCAGTCAGTCAGTCACTCACTCAACCAAGCAGCCAGCATATCATCCAACCAACCAACCAATCAATCAATCAATCAATCAGTCAATCAATCAATCAATCAATCAATCAATCAGTCAATCAATCAATCAATTAATCAATTAATCAATCAGCCAACCAGTACGTCAGTTAGTCAGTCAGTCAGTCAGTCAGTCAATTAGTCATAAAAATCTGTCAGTCAGTTAGTAAGTCATAAAAGTCAGTCAGTCATAAAAGTCAGTCAATCAGTCAGTCAACCAGCCAACCAATTATCTAGCCAACCTACCACCCAACCCACCAATCAACCAATCAATCAATCAATCCATCAATCTATCTGTCTATCAACCAACCAACCAACCAATCAATCAATCGATCGATCAGTTAGTCAATCAGTCAGTCAATCAATCAATCAATCAATCAATCAATCAATCAATCAATCGATTAATCAGCCAAACTCAATCAATAAATTATTCGGTCAATCAAGCACGCAATTAACCAATCAATCAATCAATCAATCAATAATTCAATCAACCAATCAACCAACCAATCAATCAGTCAATCGATCAACCAATCATTCATCTATTCATTCATTGAATCAGTCAACCAAACACTCAATCAATTAATCATACAAAAAATTCAGTCAAAACTCACATCCTACTGTAAGCTTGGCAGAAGCTACTGCCATACCCAATTCATTGTTAGCCTCGCACTCATAATCCCCAGCGTCTTTGAAACTAGCGTTTTTGACCAGTAAAGTGTAGTTGCTGTCAATGATTTCGTATTTCTTGTTGTCGGAGAAGAGCAATTGACTCTTATATCGCCATGTTATGTTCGACCGCGGAAAGCTGGATACTAAACAAGCCAAAGTTGCCGTTTCGCCTTGGGCAACGTCTGCAGCTTGGACTCCGGGAATCTGAGGAGAGACTACAACCAAAACAAAAACAACGTGATTCTCTCTCTGAAAATGTAACAAATATTTCACCATAATTACTGGTTTCAGTGACATGTCATTAAAAATATCAATGGGGATCATTTAACAAACAAAGTCAAGAATTGACGTACATGCGGAGGCATTTTTCCTTTCCAAATAGAATTCCTTGATGAACAGAAACAACGAAGATTTAAGAAGCTCGGTCAGGGTATTTCGGCAACCGTACAAAATTAACTTTAAATTGGAGGAAACCTGAAAATAGCAGGTTACTAAGACGGAAAAACACCAAAGAAATAATAATAAACCATAAAGGTACAAGAACGGTTAAGGATGGAGAAGATTAACACGGATTTCAAACATCGAGCCTGAAACTTTAGGCTAAATTTTTCAATAAGCGCAAGTCGTGACAAAACTCATTTAACGCGTGATCACAAAATATGTTGCTGGGGGTAGGGAAGTGGAATTCCCAATTCCACAACGGTGTAACGCATCAAGGAAAGATATGAACCCAAATCAAACAATTCACCATTCTTGAGTGAATTATTATAACGGAAGCTAACAATTAGTTGCGAATTAATCCTCTTACAATGAGGATGACACTAGAATACCTCTTTTATCAAGTACTAACCATTCACGACAACGACCGCTGGCTTACTCTCGATTGAGCCAGCGCTGTTTACCAACGTGCAAGTGTAATTACCGCTGTCCTCAGCGACAGCGGATCGCACTATCAAGGTCCCGGATGCAGAGGTAATCCTCTTTGATCTTATGCCAGCCGCAGAGAGAGGTTTTCCGTTCTTTTTCCAGTCCCACACGGCTGGGTATACAATGGGAGGCCTGGATGAACACTTCAGGTTAAACGCATCTTGAAATTTCACAGTGACGACCATTTCCGTGGGAACTGTATCAAACACAGGGGGAGTGGAGGCAATAACTAAAAAAAACATATGGAAACAAGAAAGTTAAACCTCCAATGAGGTGAGCAAGGATTTGGCAAAATCGTTTATGCATAACGTACACCACTTATAATAACTCAGGCCCCGGGATCGCGAACGAGAAAAAGCCCAGACTAAGTAATATAACAGTAAAAAAGCTAAAAATATAGACAGATGAGCACTTTACCTCTGCACTGCTGCCCATCTCCCGTGTAACCATTCGGGCATTGCATACACACGGATTCTTCTATTCCTTTCTGGGTATACAGGTCCAAGTCCACACACGTGACTTTCGCGTGACTGTCACACACCTACAAAACAGAGAACGTTTAGAATAGAAACCAGAAAAAAAGAATAAGATGGTAACAAGATTAGCTTGATACAGTTTTTCAGGGGATGGAATGCACTATCCACTAGATAAATAAATATGAAGTAAGTTTATCACGTGGAAACGTCATCCACACTTTTGATGACTAACAAGCAGTCGATCAATAAATCAATTTGTGTTTCAGTCAGTCAGCCAGGCAATCACACGCAAGGTCGCTCGTTCAGTAGGTTAGCCTGCCAGATTGTCATTCCACTAGCCAGACAGCTCGTCAATCAGTCAGTAAGTCAGTGAGTCAGTCAGTTGGTCAGTCATCAGTTAATCTGTGAGTCAATCAGTCAGTCAGTCAGTCAGTCATCAGGTCAATCAGTCTGTCAGTCAGTCAGTCTCCCAATCAGTCAGTCAGTCAGTCTCTCAGTGAGTCAGCGAGTCAGTGAGTCAGTCAGACAGTCAGTCAGTCTGTCTGTCTGTTTGCAGTTAGAGAGTCAGTCAGTCAGTCCATCCGTCCATCAGTCAGTCATTAGTCAATCAGTCAAAAAGTCAGTCAGCCATTAGTCAATCAGTCAATCAGTCAGTCAGTCATCAGTCAGTCAGTCAGTCATCAGTCAGTCAGTCAGTCATCAGTGAGTCAGTCAGACAGTCAGTCAGTCATCAGTCAGTCAGTTAGTCAGTCAGTCATCAGTCATCAGGCATCAGTCAATCAGTCAGTCAGTCAGTCATTAGTCATCAGTCAGTCAGTCCGTCATCGGTTAGTCAGTCAGTCAGTCATCAGTTAGCCAGTCAGTCAATGAGTCATCAAATCAATCAATCATTCAGTCAGCCAAATCGTCAGTCATTAAGTAGGTCAATCGGTCGGTCAGTAGGTCAGTCACCCATTATGTCAGCAAGTCAGTTAGTCATCGGCTACAAACATCAGTTAGACAGCTAGTCAGTCGGTCAGTCTGTCAGTCAATCAGTACTCAAGCGAGTCAGTCAGTGAATCAGTTTATCAATCTTGTGTCAAGTGTCTTGCATACCTGTAGTTCATCGCATGAACCAACATTGACCTTCCTACAGAAGTTATTGCTGAGTTCCTCCACAGTTGTATTGTCACACACTACACCAGCGTCCTCGCCGTGGCTTGGATCGCAGTTGCCTAATCCCCAGCCCAAATGACGACAATGGGTCAGCGAAGACTCAAAGCCAACACAGCTAACGTCATCCATCCATATGATACCGCTTCCTTTACAAACAACACAAATAAACACAAGCTTACCATTTTAGTAAATCAAAAGTTCTCTGGCTCGCTTGCGTGACATGTCACGCAAATACTTTCATGTCATGCTAACCGAAACACAGACTCACCCTTGCCAAAACTGGAATGTTTTGTTGCCTGTTTTGCCTTCCCAAATCCAAGTTCCCTGCAAACAACGTTTGCATCGGTTATGTCCCAGTCGTCATCGCAAACAGTTCCCCAGACTCCATCATAAAGCACTTCTACGCGACCCTCTCCTACACCGCCTCCAGCTAGTCGGACCTCAGGTTGCGATGGTTTTGGAAGAAACAGTGATGACACGGAACGAAGATTTCCGCAATCTTTGATGCAGGCACTGCCATCTGCAAACCAAACCATTAGCATCAGGATCATAACACCAGCTCACAGCACCTCACGTAAGGCACAACATAAAACACATTATAATATTTTAGCCCAAAGAAAATAGGCGCGATGATTGGTTTAAAATTGTTTTTTCCATTACGCGATTAGATTATTCGCTATCGATTTCTATCATTGGTCCTGAAAAGCCCCAATGGGGAGTGGCCAACTAAGTATACATTTACATTTACACAAACATCGCGTGATAGTTGATCGAGAGCGAATAATCTAATTGTTTTAATACAAATCTACCAGTCGTTCAAATTTTACGCAAATCCTCTTCACAGAATCTTCTAAAATGCCAAGAAGCGGCCGTTATTTTGCTAACAAGGGCACACTGCTACGCCAGCCACTATCTATCACGGAATAGTGAGTAGCGTTGCTAATCAGAGAACGGCATTCGTGATAGAACGCTAGTAGATTTATAGTAAAACTCGATAGAAACACGCCACATGTTTTCTATTTCTTAAATAAATCTACTAGTGTTGTATCACGAATGCCGTTCTCTTATTGGCTACATTACTCACTATCTATTCTGTTGTACATAGTGAATAGCCTAACAGAATGTGGTTGTCAACAGAATGGCTGCCGCTTCTTTGCGTCTTCGAAGTGTCTGTGAAGGAGATTTAGATTACTTATCGAGGTTTAGATTTATGCTAAAACAATTAGATTATTCGAACTCGATTTCTACGCGTGATAGTTGACGCAGGTAGATTTACTGCGATGATCACTCTTCACTTTCATCTACAACCGCAGTTCAAATATGAATTATTTCATATACACTTCACATCATTTCACTCCCCGCGGGAAGATATGAACTCAATTAATTGACCTCGCTCCTAATTTGTGGCTTCATAGCTCAGTTGGTAGAGCATCGCACCGGTATCGCGGAGGTCACGGGTTCGAATCCCGTTGAAGCCCTGATTTTTTCAGGCTTCCTCTTTCCAATTGCTTAAATTGGAAAATTTACTGCGATGATCACTCTTCACTTTCAGAAATCTGTAGGTCAGAAACCTAATTGTTAAAAAAAAAAAAAAAAAAACGAGTGGAAGTTTGGGAGAGCGAGAAATGCAGTGGGATTATGAGCCGTAGTAAAAATAGAAGTGTATAACGTTCGCTCCCAAAACCGTTGAAAACCACCCTGGCGTGAAGAAAAGAGAGTTGCGTCCTTTATTATTGTCTGTTGAATGCCTTTCAAGGGTGTTAAAGAAAATGAAAGGCATACACATGAACACGACCGAATCGCCGCAAACCTTTCCATTGCAACCTTTACGTCACGCACACTGTTCACTCACTCACTCTACTGTATTCCGGCTAGTTTTGATTTCCGGCTATTTTTGACGTGACTAACGCTGCATACTGAATAAGCTAGTGACTTGTGTATGTGTTTTATTTCATAAAATACTTACTAAGAAATAAACCATTTGGGCACGACCTGCACTTGTCTCCAGCCTCCCCATCCGAGCACGTCTGGCAGATTTTGTCGCAGGGTTTACATAAACGCTCTTTGACGTTGCCATAGAAACCAGGCAGGCACTTTGTCACGCAATCCGAGGCGGTGTAAAAGAAGGGAAAATCACAGCTTTTACACGAAGATGCCTTTCCACTGCAGGTCTTGCATTTCAAAGCGCACCTTTCGCACCTTTTTCCTTTCCCTACGAAAAAACCAGCGCCACAAGAAGATACACATTTGAGAGACATATCTGGACCTGCGCACTTGACTCCGGCATCTTCTGTGTGTCTGCAGTTGTGAGCTCCAATTCCACCTTAAAGAGGAGAGAAAATATCTTTTATCATCATCATCATCATCGTCATCATTATCGCCATCCAGCCTCAGCTCTAAACAGACTTTATAAGCCTTGCATAAGGCTGACGCGCCTGAAATTTGAATTGAATCAATCACGATTCAGAAGGCGAGAAAAAAAGTATTGTACTGACGTCAAATGGATACAGGAAAGACAAAGCAGTCGAGCAGCTTTTCTCACTGGGAAAGGCATTGAATGTTCACGAAAAGCAATTCATGCGTCCAAAAACCATATCAGATTGTAAAAAAGGAAAAATAAGAAACATTTTGCGTCTCCAAGCTTTTAATTTGGCGCCAAAAATGGGTCGCCCGTGTCCAGTAACTCACCAGTCGAGTGTCGCCGGGTAGGAAAATAGTTGTGTTATTTTAAACAAAATATGCTGTTCTTCGTCAAATTAAACACAGAAATCTCGAGTTGAGTATTAGAAGAGGCCAAAGCAATTTATCATGTCGACTCTTATCATTTCGTTTCGGTAAGACAGCTTAGTTTTCACTGCGGCTCATACTGCGGGCGCATCCACCGTACGCTAGAAAGTACGCATTTTTTTATCATGCACCCCTACTAATGCGCATGCGTACTTACCGGCTCTCATTTGGCAGTCCTTTATATTCCTTTCAGTCCCAGTGCATTGCAGATCATCAATCAAAATCTTTCCAGTTCCCTGCCCATATTTGGCCCTGGAGCGAGCTTCCACGCCCTTTCCCAGCTTCAGTTGTCGGCAAATCACGTGCGCATCATTGAGATCAAAGGAGTCATCGCAAACCGTTCCCCATTCCCCGTCGTGAAAAACCTCGACTCTACCCTCAACGGATGAGTTTGCGCCAACCAGACGAATATCGTCCACGCCTTGAAGTGTCATCTCGTTATCCTGACACTTTTGAACGCATTTTGATTGCCTAAGAAACTTGTTTGCATCGCACGAGGTGCAGTTGTCACGACGTGCGTCGCAGTTGTAGCATTCCTGGTCACATGGCATGCAACTGCGCGTGACAGGGTCTGGAAAGTAACGCTCTAAGCAAAACGTCACGCAATTATACGTCGCGTTCCCTGTCTTGTTAAGAAACGTTTCTGGTGGGCACGAGGTGCAGTTTTCAGAATTCCCAGAGCAGGTTAGGCAATTTATACTGCATGTTCCACACCCGTTTTTAGAATCAAGAAAGGATCCATTCTTTGGGTCACAGTCACTCACAGAAAGACAATCCTGGGTGCTACTCGGACCTTGGCAGACTACTCCAGCATCCTCGGCGTGGTCACAGTTTTCATTTCCCCAGCCACTGAATGGGCAGCTAATCAATGAAGGTTCTTCTCCTGATCATGAGAGGAAGAAGAAGAAGATATCTTTCAGGATAATTTCATATACAGTCGAATCACTACTGACAGCCACCTCTCTATAACGGTCACTTTATTTTGTCCCGGTGGACGGTCCGTACATTCACTCTTATTCTAACCTCTCTACAACGGTCACATATGAACAACGGTAACAGCCACTGAATAAAGCGCGTCCCAGCAGCCACAATAACCTCTCGGCAACGGCCAGTTAACCAACGACAGACGAACGCTGTATACAAAACTCCATTTGGTCACGATCTTTTATTGCGTGCCTGCGTCTTTCTTGCGTGGACTGGGACGGAAAGGATTTATTATATGGCGTTCGGGAAAATTTTTCTTGCGGGACACCGCGGGTAGTCCCGAGCGGGCAAAATAGCTCCATCTTACCCACTCGGGTAGCCAATCACCGCGAAAGATTTGGTTTATCTTGCCCGCTCATGGAAGAACAATAATCTTTATTGGTTCACAGACAAAACTTCATGGGAGATAACAAATACATTAGAAGAGAGTGAGAGAGAGCATTCTCACGCATTCATTAACTATACTCTTTAGCAGGCTCCTGTCTACATGTCCAACCCCTATTAAGCGGCCGCCCTCGTGGAAATGGGAGGTGGCCGCTTAATAGGGGCTGATGTACTTTAAACATTTTTTTAAATATCGAGTTGATTTTTCTATTTGTTATGTAAGTGAATATCGAATCACGTCAAGACAATCCCGATAAACGTACTTTGAATGTTTTTAGCAGCCATAACTTTCCATTTAGGACTCTTATCTGTCATCGCCTTTTCTAAACCTAGGCTTAACTAACTGTTTAAAATTTTGGGTAGCCATTTAATAGGGGTAAAGGCAATAGGAACAACCTCATCGGGACGACCAGAAGGTGGCCGCGGCTGCTTAATATGAGGTGGCTGGTTCATAGGGATTTTGGGCGACCTCTAAATAGGTGGCTTAATATAGATTCGACTTTCAGAGCGGAAAAACGCACTGCGCAGCTTTCTCCGCATCCCTAGCCCTACTTGCGGACTCAGGTAATAATGCAAGCTGCAATGGTGGAAACAACGGTGGACTGTGATAAAGTATTCGAGGATGTCGCTCGATTGATTTCTTTATACTTGAGCAAGCATTAATTTTTTTTCGGTATTTCACTGTTAAGAAAACAAGGCGCGATACCCCTGCTTGCTGATTGGCTCTCTTGTTTACATATTTAGTCCTGTGCTTAACTATGGATGCAATAAGTAAAGAGGGTTTGTGGGAAAAATGTGTCTTAGCACAGAAATTTCTTGTATACCGCGGGGAAATAAAGGGTTCGGGAACCTTCTTTAGGTTAACTTTGTCCAAAGAAAATTGATTCCCCAAGAAAACAATACACCAGCCCTCCATTAGTGGCGTGAATATGATGCTCCTTACCGAGAAAATTGGGAAAGCATATAAAGTTCGTGACATTTTTTGCTTACAAGATCGACGAAATTCCCGCCTTTTTTTCAAACTTTGAGCCTGGCGCGGGGCCAAACCTCGCGCGCGCTTATTACGTTTCTCCGCTCCGAAGATTCGACTGTATTCAACTCGTTCTTACCGGTGCAATTTACATCGTCCATCCAGACATCGCCCACCGCTTGACCATACTTCGCTCGTACAGTAGCAGCCGTAGCATTTCCCATCCCTAGCATTCTGCAGACAACATTGGCATCTTTGATGTCCCAGGAATCGTCACAAACGCTGCCGTACTTGCCGTTGTGATAAACCTGAGGCGGAATCGAAAATAAGGGAGACAGTAGTGAGTGATAACGTCATGTACAACCACTTAACGGCTCTCGTTTGCCAAGCAAATGAAGTTTTACCTCGTTTATCGTAAATTGAGTTGAATTGAAGTGTCTGTGAAGAGGAGTTCGATAAAGTTCTAAACGAATAGTAGATTTACACTACACGTAAAGCACTAAGATAATTCGCTTTCGATTTCGATTCTATGCGTTAGGGCTTAAAGGAAAAAACAAATGAAAAACGCAATTTGTCTGTTTTCTTTTTCCAAATTTTACATTTGGCTTTCACGCCCTTCATCTTAAAAAGTTGAATATAATTCAATATGATTGTTAAACTAGCGTGCGGAAGAAAATTTAGTGGTGAACAATAAAGACGACAGAGCGTTTCTGTTGAAGAAATATCGGCTAATAGTTGCCCATTGGAATTTTGAAAAATCTCGAGCGGATAATCTCATCACTAACGAGGATATTAGACATATTAGTTACCTCAACGCGTCCCTCAAACGACGTCGGGCCATTAACAAGACGTACTTGTGGTATGGTAGTTGGTTTGTACAAAGGCGTACAATCTGTCACACAACTCGAGTCTTTCTTGTACCTGGGTGGATCACATGACGTGCAGTTATCTGGCTTTACTTCGCAGCTGCCGCACGTGGCGTTACATTTAAGGCATGTGTCACCTGCAAGATAGTAACCACGCCCACATTCGGCCACGCACGTGTAGTTCTTCTTGTAATAACCGGTTGAGCAAGTTGGGCAATTGTCGGCAGTACCAACGCACGTGCTACACGAGACATTGCACTGAGAGCACGCTTTTCCGGCGTTTTGGTAGAAGCCGTCCGGGCACTTTGGCTGGCAGGTCCTCACACCGGGTCCCGAGCAACGAAGTACTGCATCTTCCTCGTGTCTACAGTTAGTTTGGCCCCATGGACTGTGACGACATTCGTGGAGAGTTTTCTCGTTGCCTGTGCAGAAAACATCGTCAAGCCAAAGTTTACCATTAGGTAACTCCGAGGATTGTCTTGGGATGTGAGTGAGTGACGCACCAGAGTCTGCAGTTCCGAGGCCAAGCTCTCTACACACCACGGAGGTCTCTCTGTCATCCCATCCATCATCACAAACAGTTCCCCAAACTCCCTGGTGAAAGACTTCCAGCACGCCTTCCAAATAGTCTGATCCGTTACTCAGTCGTACCAGCGCTCCATTTGGAGACTTATCGTTCGAAATCTTAGGTATGACAGGTACAGCAACCTTTGCACCAGTACAGTTTTGGAGACACGCGTTGTTGTCAAAGACCAGGGGCGGTGTGCACACTGTACATTGTGGAGTGTCGTTAGCGCTGAGATATGTACACTGCAAACATTTAGACGGGCAAGCGAGACAGGAATAGTTCTTATCAAACTTGTAAAATGAATTACCACAGTCGCTTACACAGACACCGTCTTTTTGATACAAATCAGGGCCGCAGCCCGATTCGCATTTGCCACCCTTTAACGCGTTCGGAACCTTGCACGAAGTGCAATTCTTCGGATCACTTCCGTCGGCACACGTCACGCATATGGTAGTGTCACATTTGCGACATTCCCTGGAAGGAAGATGGCCGTACTCGCCAGCAGGACATTTATCAATGCAGGTATTATTATTTAAGACTTTCGGGGCTTTGCACTTTGTGCATCGAGAGCTGGTTCCCAGGCATTCGGAGCACTGAGCGTCACATAACTCGCAAACGTCGACATCGTTCTTAAACCAGCCTGGCCTGCACTGCTTCAAGCATTGATTGGTCTGAGGCGGACCACTTTTTGGCCCCGTGCAAACGACTCCCACATCGTTGCTATGGTAACAGCGCCTGCCACCTGTACGAGGTGCATTCTTGCATTCGAACAAACTGCTTTCCCGTCCAGTGCAGTTCATGTCATTGGCCCATACTGAGCCCCTTCCAAACCCGTACACAGTTTTCTTAACAGCTCGTAAAGCGCCTCCAAGCCCAAGCTGTCGGCAGGCTACAGTAGCTTCAGGAAAATCAAACAGCTTGCCACAAACCGTGCTCCATGCTCCACTGACAAAAACTTCCAATCGGCCCTCGAGCTCAGTGGAGTTAATTCCAGCAAGGCGTATCCGTCGTCTTTCGCCAACGAACGATGGAGCGCAACTCACTAAGCACTGATCTCCTTTAAGGTACCGATCATCCGGGCATGTTGTACAAGAAGAGAACGACCTTCCGTCTGCGCATGTCCGGCAATTGAGGTCACATCGTTTGCATTGCCCATCAGAAGTGTCACCATAGAAACCTGGTCCACACGTTCTTACGCAGCTTTTGTCTGTTGGAGTAAATGTGAAAAATGTAAGCATATCAAAACAAGAAAGAGCAGGAGCCATAATCGGGGACGGAGACCGTAAGCGCGCACCATTTCTAGTATTGGGGCTGTCCCTATGATATGGGACAATTTTTCTATTTTTAGAACAAATTGCGCCATCATGTGCGGCACACGCGCGTACATGCTGCGAGGATTTTTGCGGGTGTAGCGAGGGGAAATGACGTCCGAAATTCCCGAAATGTTTGATGCTTTGGCCCACAACTCAATACGTTTGTCTCTTGGTATTTTTCTTCCGTATTTTCGTCGTAAGCTGTTCCAGTTTGAGTGAAGTAAGACAGTGTCGAATTCAGTAATGTCCCGCTTTATATCACTGACCAGGTTGTGCTCCACTGCTTCTCTTACAAGAGCTCCACATTGCTCCACTCTAATTAGTTTCCCATATGTTGGAGATTAGCAGCTTTTCCATAACACGGCAAAAGACTAGTTGGATATATTTGGATATAGCAGCGTTTTAGGACTTCAAAGTTTCCCTCCTCTTGCCACACGCTTGCGAGGATTTCGCCAGAGTCTATCTCGACCGATAAGTCAAAAAAAAAAAAAACAATAATTGCAAGTTTGAGTTTCGCCTAAATTGTAAGCAACGCTTGATGTTTTATTAAGGCCCAATAAGTGACAATAAAGTTTATGTCTGTAGATGCTGCTCAGTTTTGTTTGTGTAAAAATCCAATAAATTGACCTATTGTCGATGAATAAGAGCGCCCGCCGATGCGTGTTTTGTGCAGTCAGTAAAACATGACAAATTGGACTTCCACACTTTCGTGTGAAAACGTACATCGAACTCATATAATATCTCTAGTTTTTAAATATGTTTAACCCTTTGAATACCAAACTTTCGCCAAAAAATACCGTTTTCAACCGTTTAGTCAGGTTTTTTAGCTGCCATGACGCTAAATAAGCCTAAGTTTTGCTAAGAAAGCTTTTTTTTTTGACTAAAAGGAGAGATTTTTCAAAGATTAGGCGCAAAATTGAGCAAAATTTCAATTCCGGGTATGCGCATAAGCCAAAAGTTTTCTCATCCTGGAGAGTTTAAACGAGATTTGAGCGAATTTTGAAAAAAATTGTCCCGCGGTGTTATAATAACAAGTTGTTTCTTATTATAACACCGTAGGACAAAAAATGACACCATTGAATGGTCAAGAGTCTTTAGTCGGTAAATTACCCATACATTGAACGAATTTAACGTCAACTCCTGATCTCCATACAAACTCTTATATTACGCTTGGGTGACCTGTGGTCAAGATTTGTTGACAATTGAAAACACCGACTCGGACTTGAAAGTACATGCGCTCCACTATGCAAATGAGCTACTTGTACGCGACTTTCCTTGCAAAAACTTTTGCAAAGTTGAAAACTCGTCAAACAAGCAAAAACAATGAGAAACTATCAAAAACAGGTTTTTGTTATGATTAAGCATTGTTTGGGAAACTCACAAGTTAACTCGATACCAGAGTAAAGAGTTTTCTTACATAACTTTTCTTTACAGAGCAAACGCAAAAGCTTACGCGTACAACTAGCGCGAGCAGATATTACTCATTCACAGCACGAAATTGAAGTCTTGTTTTCGACCCTGAAAATCTCACCGTTTCCATCAGCTCAGAACATAAAACTACATGTAACAGCTCTGGTTCTTATTCCCTGCCTTATTTCCTGCCATCGCTGTGAAAAAGCCGCAAGAGAATCTCGCAACTCTCACCATTTGATCACGCAACGTGACAACATCCACGCGGGGGACCCACGAAATGTGCGTGGATCCGCGCAGATATATGTCGTCAGGGTGGGGCAACTCGTTTTAAAAATAGAAAAATTGTTCCATATCATAGGTGCGCGCGGATCTCAAGACTACGTCCTCGATTATGACTCCTGGTAAGAGTAGATGCCAAATTGCTTTGCATATGCAGTCAGTTATAACGACAATAAGGTGTTTTCCGTTGTAATGAATTGTGCTCCTACAACATGCGTACAGGACTAGCCAGGCTTAAAAAGATCAACTTTACAACTTTCATTCAATACTGACAGGACAAATAAGTAATCAAATAAAACATCAAATAAAAATGATATTTTGACGCGCGCCTCAGTTGGACGGGCGAGTTTTGTCTTTCAGTCAGTAAACAATTCGCATGCGCTTCTGTATGTGCCGCTGATCAGATGGCTTAATTTCATTACCTTTTCGAAATCGTGAGGGGTCGCAGCTGGTACATGTTGTTGGGGTATCTTCACACGTGAGGCAGCTTGGAGAACATGCGGCGCACTGTCGCTTGCCAACCTTCTGATAGTAGCCATCCCCACAGCTACCGACACACTCCCTGGTTGTATCAGGCCCTGCACACCGCACACCGGCATCTTCAAAATGGCTGCACGTGTGGTTACCCCACCCATCGTGATTGCATCTTTCCAAGCGCGTCTCAGATCCCGTGCAGTTTACCTTTTAGCGAAGAAACAAAATAATTTAACATGATAACAAAACAAATTACATTGTGACCGCTATATACTGCCAAAATTAGCTCATATAACTACTGACTGAGGTGTGTAGAGTAAATGGCTTATGTTTTTTTTTTTTTTTTTTTTTTTCTAGTTTGCTCGTCATTTGGTTGTCATGAAGGGTACAGTAATAAAGAATGTGTGATCAGGCCAGACCCGGTCCAGGTCTCAAGCCGTCATCGTGAACACGCAGGAAAGGTAAGAAATTTCCGAAAATTTTAGTACACCTCGCAAGGTTGTCCTCTTTTCCTGAAATTCCGGAAAATGCTGTTTCATTCGGCTCTAGAAATTTCCGGAAATGCAAACCGGAATTTTTGGTCGAATGGAAAGCGCCCTATGTCACAGAAAACATTTATAATTATGTAAAATCAGGCCTTCACTCACTTGCAAGTATCTGAAAACAGATACTCTGAAAAAAAACGCCTTCACCATTTGTTAGAGGTTTACTGATTACCAGGAATCTAACTCAAATGTATGAAAAATAAAATGACCACCTTTGATAGCCAAATGGGCTGTGAATCTTTTCCTTTCCCCAGTCTCCCCATTTTCACGGGCTCCTGTGCTTTTCCTAGTAACAACTCCTGACATACAACGTTGGCGTCTTGGATATCCCAGGAATCATCGCAAACTGTGCCCCAGACCCCGTCGTGATTAATTTCGACTCGGCCTTCGAAGTGGTTACTTCCGCCCACTAGTCTAATCTGAGTAATTGGCGGACCTTTAGTGAGGAGACCGTCAGCACAAGTTCGGACGCAAGATGTGTCTGTTGAAAAATACCTTGACATTAGCTATGAAGTACAAAACAACATTAACCGTTTCTTGGAATCCGTTTCTCATACAGTGAAAGACGTAAAAGAGGGTGGTAAAGGGGGGTTATAGATCACGTTTCACCAGGGGCGGGGGAGAACACTCTGCGACGCCTGGCACTTTTTGTGTATCTGAATCATCCAACAAAAAATGACGTCACATCCGGTAAAAAAGAGCGCTGAGCGGCAAAATCAAATT